TCTCTTGGCAATGGCAATTGGCAACAATAATTCAGTCGGTTTAAAATATATCAATTTGACCATTGATGTGCCTAACACAGACATTTAAAACATGGCTTACTCATCCTAATTAACCTCATATGAAATTCTTGTAAGCAAGCAGGAATAACGTATATCAACTAAGTCCACAATGTTTATGGATAGTTCTGAAGCAAAAAGAACAGTTATGTGGATTAATGTACCTGGTGAGCATCATTAATGGGAATGATAAATGTACTGTTTGAATAGATAGAAAATTCTTTGGGCGTTCCAGGGTACTTTTCATGAGACTCAGGAGCAAGATAGAGAGTGCCAGTCCCCTTCAGAACCACAAAAACTTCTTCACATGAGTGCCTGTGAATGGGTGTGTGTGATCCAGGAGAAAATGTTTGGAGCCACACCTCCACCTGCAAAAGCCACGAGACTCGAGAGCGGTAAATGGCTACCACGGGCCAATGCACAATATTTTTTTTTTTTTTGTGTTTTCACAGAGCTTGACTGGGTTCTAGAAATTTAAGGAATGAGCACACCGTACCTCCTTCAGCCCATGCAGTATTGAACCTGCAACAGTAATGTGAGACAAGCCTCCCCTGCCATAGTTATCTTGTGGAAGCTCACTAATATTTCTTACCAGGGGCAGCCCTGTGCATCAATGGAAAATTTAAATGGATTAAGAGACAAAAAAGAAGGTTAAAACGGTGAACTGACATGCGAAGTTGTCAGGTTCATAAAGTACGGCTTGGCCAGGCCTCCCCTGTCACCGTCCTCACTTTACAAGTACAAACACATGAAAAACACTGGATCCAAATGCCCTAAGACATAGATATGCAACAATTTGAAGAACGAAGGAGGACATCCATTAGTTCGTCAGTAAACTTGTAATAACCTGCTCAATATTCAAATACCCAAAGACCAAAAAACCACCATATTTCTAGCCTGAAAACACACAGCCATTAAGGATCACTAAAAATTGCCCCAAGAAGATTTCCATGTAACTCATCGAAGGTAATTGTGAAAGAACTGAAGCCCAGTTTCGTGGATATTATTATTTGAGCCAATACTTTTGATTGTGCTCATAGTGAATGGCCCCCCTTTCCTCTCATGGCATGCCTCTTGGTGGCATCTCCAAAAATCTGGACAGAAACTGAGGTTCGAGAATAGAGCAGAAAATATGGGCTTCAGAAGCTACGCTAATGGAACCCAATGAAGGAAACATGGAAACAAGAAGCGCCCGAAACGGCGAAGGATGCTGAAGGAAGAAGAAGAAGAGTACTCACCGGTGATCGAGCAACGGGATGCTTCGGAGATTGCGGGGAAGAAAATTGAGCAAAAAATCAGAGCTAAGTGAAGTCCCGCCATGGAGTCGCTTCTGCAATTTCACCCCCATTTTGTGGTGTTTCGATCACTTGTTCTATATAAGCTTTATTGAGATTTTCTTTTTTTCTTTCTTTTTGCTCCCATCATTTCTTCACTGTTTTCTTCGTTTTATCTAATTTTATCGTGAGCTTTCAAAATCAACATTTTTGATCTTGAAGTTCGAGAAATATTTCTAAATGATCCTTTCTTTTATTGTTAATTAATTAATATTAAAATGACGTGACAAATTGTAATTAAATTACTTATTGTAATTACTGATGTAACAAATTATATTAATTAAATAATATACATAGAAGTGACGTTGTTTTCTCTTTCCTTTCCTCATCTTTACCCTTCTCTGATGACCACCACGTCTTTTCTGCTGCCGTCTGCCATTCATACCAGACATATATCATTTAATTAATATAAGTTGTCACATTAGCAACTACAATAAACAATATAATTGCAATTTACCACGTCGTTATAATATTGGTTAATTAACAGTAAAAAAAATCATGGACCATTTAGAACTATTTCTCAAATTTAGAACCAAAAGTGTTTATTTTAAAATTTCATGGACCAAGTTGACACCTACTTTAAACCTCAATGATCAAAAGTTCATTTTTAAACTTCATAGACTAAGTAGACACCTACTTTAAACGGACCAAAAATGTATTTTTACCTTTTATTTTGTTTGAGTTAATTTTTTCCCAACACATAATTCTCCAATTTTTCCGTCTATTTTTGAGGATGAATTTTATTCTATTTTTATTTATTAATTTTTACATTTTTTGAACTCTAATCTCTCCAATTTTTTTAGGTAGTAATGTAATTTTTTATTGGTTAATTTTATTCCATATTGTTCACTTTAATTTATTTTTTTCCTCTAGTCTCAAAATCAAAATCTTGAATTTATTTTTCTTCCCAACTCGAAAAACCAATTTCCACTTCTCACTCACATTTTTCTGAATTGTATTTTCTTTTTTTTCCCTTGTATCTCTAGCTTTACCTCTACCACTGCCACGAGTTGGAAAAATTTTGAGGAAAAAAAATAATGAATCAAATTTGGAAAAAAATGAAAGAAAAAAATAAATGTATAGACATAGATAGAGGTAGAAATATAAATATAGATAAAGGTAGAAATACAGATACAGATAGAAGTATAATTAGTGTCAATACAAACTATTGCTACTACCACCACCATTGTTGCTATATTTATTTATATCATTGCCGCTACTCCTATCGCTATTGCTACTACTAACAATTTTGGAATTGTTGAGACCAAATTGAAAGTATGTTGCCAATACAAACTATTGTTATTACTATAGTCAAAAGGTATGAGTGGGGCACGGGAAGTAATTTGTCATGATAGGATGATATCATGAATGCTAAGATAACAATTTTTTAAAAAAATTTGATGGATCTCACTTAGACTATCAAATTTAGGTCATTTTTTAGAATACCCTAAAAAACTTCTTGTTTTTTTTTTTTTGGTTAACAACTGCAATTACTGAGGATCTCTTGTTCTAGACTTCTAGTTATCTTGGGTATATATTTTCTAACTCACTATGTTTGTTACTGGTTTGAGTTTGTTTTCTTCATCGACGGTGTTTAGAAACACCCAACATTTATAACTTAAATAACTTAAATTAGTAAACTTACTAAATGGCTCATTTTAATTCCTCGATTTTGGCCATGATAATTATATTCTCGAATTTATTAGTATCATTATTTTATTAGCGGAAATTCAAAGAAATGTTGTAGCTTATTAGCTAAGACATTTAGTCCTTCTCTTTGAGTAGGAAGTTGAAGCATTTATTCCACTAATTAAAAAAAAAATCGAATAAGGAGGGGAGATTCAGAGCAATTGAGCTATGCTCTATCAGCAAAATAAACAAGTTGGACTCTATAGATGGTTAGAATTAAACTCTAAAACATAGAAACTTATAAAATTGTTATAATTAAAATATACCACTCTAGTTTTATCAACGATAACTCAGAGAAAATAGCTAGTGAAGTTTACCAAATGAAAAGATTGTGTAACAATAAAATATAGTTGATGATTTTTTTATTTAAGATCCAATAATAAGAAAGTTAATTAATTGATTAATTAAGGTGGTTGTGCCAAGCCAACAATCGTAGCTAGTAGAGTATAAATAAGGCATTAAAAAGCATTCTCAATGCAGCAAAAGAAGAAATGCGGCAGAAAATGTTCAAAATATTTTCAGTCCGTGACTTCTTGTTCTCGACTAGCTGATTCTTTTGATTTGATTATTATTTTCTAGATTCAGAAAGAAGCTCCTGAACTTGAGCGTCAAATCTATGTGAACTCTCCAACACTGAATTCGAAATAATTCGACGACGAAGGATGATGTGACTGAAGAACCGTTAGAAGAATATATATTATATATATCTAAAGTCCCCTCACAAAGACACAGGGGAGCCAATAAACCAGTTCTAGCGTGTGATGAAACTATAGCACAAATGCCAAATGCAGGCCATCACCAATACTTTACCTTCAAATTCAGAGAAAGTACCTGCAGCAGGATCTTGAAGAACTACCGTGATTTCTATACATTATCATGCTTTACAGGGATTCGATTCCGATCAGAAAGCAGCCATGAATCCAATACTCAGAAAATTTTAATCTGTTCTCTGTAACCATCCCATCTGCAAATGGAAACATGTTATAGAGAAGGTAAAAGAAGATTCCTTTTCTATTAGGTTCATCATATGTGAAGTAACAATTATACCTTCCAAGCATACATTCCGAAAAAGGCTACGGTATCGGCTGACCACACGGCTGCAAAAGACTTCCAGAAAAATGGAATTGTAACGTTGAGTAATGGGATGAGGAGAAATAGATAGTTGAGAGCTTCTTTCTCATTTTTCGAGCAGTCTCGTGCCCGGAGCGAAGGTATTGCTGCCATTTCGAATTTTTAATGTAATCAGTCAAAGCTACCTCTAGTTGATGGAGAAATTCAGTATTCATCAGGTAAGAAAGCGGTTAAAAGGCAACAGAGAGTGAAAGCTAGCAAGTGAAGTACTATGAAAGAATTCAATTAAAAGAAGGTATTACTGCATTCTAGCAGGAAAAAAAAAGGGGAGAAAATTACTGAACATCCATATCGACCACATTCCCATTAATCGCCATATATCGGGTTCATCCGACGGGAATATGAGATTGAAAGATAGCACTCCACCTAACAACATTGAGGCATAGCCTTGAACCTCAAAAACAGTATATAAAGTAGTCCCAGGTACAGCAGGATTTTTTGAAGCAGTGGAGGCCCTTGGTGCAAATGTTGCAGCAGTCTTTTGAACAACCTGTTAAGGAAGATCATAGAATGTGTTAGGTGCATAGATATCACCTATATAGAAGCTTTCTCTTCAAACTAAAATGAACTTCCTTCCCTTTTAACTTGGAAATATAAACTGAACAAAAAGAACTAGAAGTGCACATTAAGGGAATCCACATTCAGAGATAATCTTTGGAAGTGTGATTCCCAGAATCAATATCACATCATATTTGTTTGGAGTTGAAGTGACTTTATAATACTAGAATAATTTTTTTATCGAGTAGAACAAGTGGAGGTAGGGGATTCAAACTCATGACCTCTTAGTCAGAGACAGGTGCTAATTATCGCTACACAGCTCATGTTGGCTTATAATACTAGAATCAACTTCCTTCCCTTTTAATTTGGAAATATAAATTAAACAAAAAGAACTAGAAGTGCACATTGAGGGAATCCACACTCAGAGATATTGGAAGTTCGATTCCCATAATCAATATCACATCACATCATATTTGTTTGGAATTGAAGTGACTTTAAATACTAGAATCATTTTTTTATCGAGTAGAACAAGTGAGGGTGGGGGATTCGAACTCATGATCTCTTAGTCAGTGACAGGTGCTAATTACCGCTGAGCTAAGCTCATGTTGGCTTATAATACTAGAATCATAATGTTTCATTCTTACATTATTTACGATTTAGTTTCTTCACTCCTTCCTAATTTTCTCAACACAAAAGCCCTTGTAGAGATCTTTGAGGTACATAATAATGATGAAATAAAAAGGAATATAAAGATTCCAGCAAGGCAAGATGATAACGTAACCACCATAGGGTGGACTAACAATCATTATGGAAAGTGAAAACAAGTAAGGAGGAATGAATTCGAACATGATGACCACTCACTTTTGTTTCTTTCACTAAAAAAAATGACGACCACTCACTTAAGACATTAAAATCCTACAAGTATCTTGGCAACCAAAATATAGGCGATTGTCCCTTCACTCATGCATATTACGAGGGGGAAAAAAAGATTAGAAGTTGTGTCTGAAAACTTTGCTTTCCTAGAAGGATCGATGTGTTATAGAATTGTGGAGCGAGGGTGACCCTGTGGTTGATTTAGAAAGGTAGAAACAGTAGCTTCAGGAGGTGTTTCAAAGCAACGTGTTCGTGGTGGTCTTTAAACCACAACAAATTCTTTTGTAATTATAGCCTGCAAATGTTAGTTAGAGATTGGAAGGCTACCATTGTATAGTCTTTTTGGGGAAGGGTTTTCTCAACCCTCTGCCTTTTGGGTGTCACTTCTTTTAGATCAATGAATTCCTTATTTCTTATTAAAAAAAAAAAAAGATTGCAGCTAGTAGTAGGAAGATATGGAATTGGAAGAAATAAGCCCCTTGAAGATGTATAGTTAAGGGAATGTGATTGTGGTTAGTAGAAGATGTTTCCATCGTGATTCTGGTTAGGAATATGTATAAAATATCAAATATACCTTAACCTATCATATTATATATACTGTAACCTATCAACTTACGTTTTTATGTGTAGAGATTGATCTAACATTGCATTAATGCCATTTCCTCTCTATTTCATATAATAGTCCACTTGTCGAGTCTTGTGCTAACTTTCATGCCCACAAGCCACAAATTAGGAGTATTAAGTATAAGCTATAGGGTCTCTTTGGGCCTTTGGCCATTCAAGAAGCCATTGATCCTCTCCCTGTTATTCATTTCATCCAGTGAGTTCATTACTAAACACCCATGAATATCGTAATGACAACTCCCATTTCTCCATAAGCTCGCAAAAATCTCAATAACTATAGACAGGACAGACAAAATCTAGAACCCCATTAGACATTCCAGAAGAAGCTTCACGATTCAAGTACACATTGAACGTCCAAATCAAACCCACATAACAACTACATCAGAAATTGCAAGAAAACCAAGTAAAAAACGACGAATACCCCACTAAGTGATTTCTGCAATCAAAATTAGCAAGATATGACCAAAAAATCATCAGAAAACAAACCTTCTTGAGGTCTTTATCGAGTGCGGGAGCGGTGGATGCCATGCTTTGCGGCTGGGGTTCGGCAGCCGCCCCATGTTGCTCTTCTTCTTCTTCCTTGGGTCCCTCCACTGCCTGGGTTTGCAAGTCGTTGGAATTGGCGCGTAAGCTGTGGGTTCTTCTGATGGCGGAGAGGTTTTTGGGGAAAATGGCGTAGGAATTGAAGATTTGTATATTGCAGAAATTGCATCGAGATGTGGGAATTAGAGTGTTCATGATTTCTAAGATTTGGATAAGAAATGCGTGTCACAGCGGAGAGCGGCTGCGCGACCGGAAACTTAACCGTTTTTTTCTTCGTGATTTTTTCTCGTGCAATATGGTCTACATAATTCAATTTCATCGTTAATCTTTTAAAATTTTCATTTTTTTTTTTATAATTTACGGTGGAAGCTTTTTGCTCCCCTATTCAACACTCCAAGACCTAAGCTTACGAGACATTGCTCGAATTTGGAATCTGGCAGGTGGCAAGAGATTACAAACTCTTGCCAATATAACTACGACTTGAGGGACATTTAAAATTCTCAATTTTGTCGAAGATATATTAAAAATTTTCAATAAAAATGCGGCTCAAATTTGAGGCAAAATACATTCATGATACTTAAAGTTTTAGGTTGATGTCCATTTATCATTAAAATTTCAAAAGGTACATTTTTTGTATTTGAAAAATGGAATTCATTTGACTTATTGACTAAAAAAAAGGCTATATATGATAGTTCGTTGTTGATTAAGTTTGGTGACTTGTAAATTATATTAATATTATATTATTTGTTACGGCTAATTATATCTATCGCAACAAGAGCCAATAAGAACCAATTATCATCATCAAGGTTACTTTCGGATCTCATTCACGTCATCTTCTAAGGCTCTATTGTACGAATTAAAATGTTGATCTAACCAAAGACTATCACTTTAATTAGATGTTCGAGGATTTATCTACAACTCTATGCAATCATATCTTCAAAATTTCGCAACTTTTTGCTCAACACATGATTAAGTTTGGAGCACAACTCTAATATATATATCATCTACAAGGACAAAAGATTATCCATATCTCTATATTTGTAAGTACTATCCATTTTATTTCTAGAGTTAAACCCGTTTATTTTTATAAATGTACCTAACAAAATATTATTCAAGCTACGTTATAATGTAGCTAACTAATGTGAACTATATTCCTAGTCCAATATAAGAAATAAATTTTAGATCTTAAATTTTGGATCATGTTCTCCCCAGAGAGGAAAGTTAAGGGAGAGATTCTTATTATTGTAATATCACATGTGTCATACAAGTTACAAGCACTTTCAATAGAATGCAAAATTGGCTAATGGGCCACTCATCTCGGTATTACATTATATATTCTCTAAATTTGAATTCGGTGTCTATTTGGTTCCTGAAATTTGAAAATAGACACTTTATTCGTGAGGTTGGAAAAATAGTTACAAACAAGATTTAAATGTCGACGTTTATGAAAATGTTTATGTATTAATTTAATAAAAATGTTAATGGAAATATAGATAAAATTTGGATGGAGATGAATATTTATGAAAATTTTATATAAATACATAATTAATAATAAATATTGAAATTAACAAACAACTAGATCATACTGTTTTTTTTTTATTTACAGAATAAACGACAAACTAAAGGGAAAATACATTTATGGCCCTAATATTTGGAAGAAATGAATTTGTCGCCTCATGCACCAAATTGTTAGTTAATTTGTTATAAAAATGTAAGGGTAAGTAAAGAGACCAGAAAAATCGATCTGATTCATCGAAATCGACCGAACAGATGTCTGGGTTCCTTGGTCTGTCAATTCGATTATCGATTCTGATTTTTCAGAATCCACAAGTCGATCAGTCGATTGGTGGTCATCTTCCAAATTTCGACCGATCGACCGATCAACTGACCGACAATAATATATCAATTAAATTTATTTTTTATTTATTTTCAATTTTTAGTTTATTTTTATGTCTTTATACATTAGGTTTGATTAGTCTAAAATGTTTCGTGAATAATGGAGAACGCTACATGAAAGAGAATTTAAACTTAAATGTAAACCATAATAAAAACAGTGAATTGAATAGAAATAAAAAAAATTTACGGGAATAAATTAAAAAACATAACTGAAAAAAAAAACATTATCCCACTTATGAATCATCCATTTTATGTGATTCAGTAAGAAAGCATTTCATACTTTTTTAATGAGTTGAGTTTATTAATATTAATGTTACGTTCATATTAAGGATGATGATATCATGTTGATAATTTTGTATATTTATTGATTTTTTTACTGACAAAACTTGGCTAAGATCCAGGAGCACGTCTTAATGAGTGCCTAAGGGGCAACAAACTTTAATATTTATCTCCTATTCTTAATTATCCTTTAATTTTTTTCTCTTGTTCATATATATATATATATATATATATTCCTATCTTCTCAAATTTCTTGCTCTTCATTTTTCTCTATTCTACGAAGCCTCACTAATTTTGTCTCTATTTTTTAAAATATTTTTATTTAAAAAAATCGTAGGTAATTATCTTAGTTATTTGTCTTGTCTACTTTTGTTCAATTCAATGCATCTTTTTGTATTTAAAAAACATGAGAAACAAAGATAAACTAAAAGACAAATATTTAAAATTTCTACTGTAAAAAACATACTAAGGTTTATTTGTGGCAGAAAAAACTGTTTATGCAAAGATATGCACAACAGTGTATTTCAGATTGCAGCTCGAACTCGGCCTCCGGACCGATTTGAATACTTGGGCGGACCTGCACAAAAAGGTGAGCACTCCGACGATCAAGTCAGTATAGGTCGGATTCCCAGTTTAGTTCGAGGTCAGAAATCATCGTACCTGATCGTGGAGTGAAGTCCTCTACTTATGGGTGGTAGTCCCGCTAATCTCGCGACGGTTACACCCGGTAATCTCGGGACCGTCGGTTACACCCGGTAATCTCGGGACCGACGGTTATACCCGATAATCACGCCACTGACAGTAGCTCACATCGGCCCCCACCGAGCTTCCCGGTAGGTCGGACCTCGGCCAGGTTCACCTCGGCCCTCATACTTA